CCCGGCTGCACGGCGGCACCTGCGGCCGGGTGCCCCCCCGGAGGGGCCGGGGCTGCGGCTGGGGAAGGGCCCACTGGTGCGGGGCGAGAGGGTGGGAAGCAAAGCACGGGGCAGGGAAGGGAGGCGCGGAGCTACCTCCAGCGCCGGCACCCCACCGCTCCCGCAAACGCAAGCGGGGCCGGAGGGAGGAGAAGTAGTTGCTTCTCCCTCCCCTGGACCGAAACCCACAGATCGCCGGGGGAGGCGGGGTGGGGGAGAGGAGGAAGCCAGGAAAGCCCCGCTACACCAACTGCTGCTGCCCGAAGTTACCTGCAGAGCGCTTTAAAAGGTCCGATCCCGCCACCCCCTTGGGAGCCACAAGCGGATTCGAGCCTCCGCCTGCTCCTCGGTACTGCCCGTCCCGTGGCCCGGGAAAGGGGACAGAGCTGCGGAGCTGCTGTAACGTACGGAAGGGGCAGAAGGCAGGAGAGGACCCAGCTAGCGCAATAAACGGGGGCGGGGGGAAGGAGTGGAGCCTCATGCCTGGAGCCATTTTCTTAAATTCACTCCCCGGCAGCGGTCGGGGCTGGGGGAGAAGCCGTCCGGGGTCGGAGAGCCCCGTGTGTCTGGTGGGGGTCGGGGAACACTTGGGATCGTGTAAATACAAGTTGTCAAAGGCAGAGAAGCCCACTTTTTTTTTTTTTTTCTTCTTCTTTTTGGTGACAAAAGAGCGTGAGGCGAAATCAGGAGTTTACAGCACAATTCAACTTGAACGCGAAAGAAACCCCACGATTGAAAAGGGACATCTGAAAGGGACCGTCTGCTTCTTACGCAATCAGCGCTTAATAAGCAACAGCCATTAATATATGTTAATTGCAGCTCCAGCAGAGCTTGGGGGAATCTTGGAACCGTGTCAGGGAGGATCGCTGGCTTTTAAAGAATAACGCTATGCACCAAACCGGCCCCGTTTAATCCTATTATTAAAACACCCCCCCTGGTCCCCAGCCTAACTCCCAACCGAGATCAGCGAGGGCTTGTCCTCAAAACTTGCCCAGACAAGGGAGCCGGGCGCCCCTTTCGTTTGGACACTCCTGACGCTCGCTAAGATGATCGTCCGAAAATGCCCAGGCTTTTAGCGATGCTTAAGATAAAAGTTCACGTGCTTTTCTGTTTGAGCCCCGTTTTAGGCTCGAATCCACGTCCTCCCCCAGAAATTTCCAGCGTGGTAACGTGGCTGCTAAATGGATCACTTCAGGCTGGTTCTGCAGCGCAAAGTCGTTAGGGGATATTTTATTCCCCATCTAACAGTGTCACGTCAAAAAAACCCCCACCCTCCCAAAAAAACCCAGCTCGAGATCGCCTGCGAGGCTGCCCGCCTCGCTGCGGGGCTGACATGGCTGGACCGACCTTCCAGCCCAGCGAGAGGGAGAACAAATCATTAGTTCCGACAAACGAGCTCCGACGCCTTTCTGTGACTTGCCCAGTACCTCGCCGCGTGGGTATCGATGCTGCACTAGAGACTACAGTTGTCCCTGCTGCTCACATAAGCGGGAAAGCAAGGGATACTTTTGATGACATCATTAAAAACAGCAACATTTAGGAACAAAAATCTTAAGTGCGTGGGTAAAACCCGGGAAGCGTCGTTTGGGTACAGATCGATTCCTTTGAACCGAGCCTCCCAGTGCATTCAGGAGGCAGCGGCGAATGTTGTTTTTCATCACTTTTCCCCCCAGCTGAACTTTTATTTGGCTTCTGACAACAATAGCGGGCAGCAAACAGACCTCTCGGAGCGCCCGCTGAATAGACCCTTTTCGAGCCCGGATTGTTTCCACCGCCACAAAAAACAACCAGTAGCTCCGTTTCTTAATTGGGTTGTTCCTGGCCCTCGTTCATTC